ATTTTTTTTTTTTTTTTTTTTTTTTTTTTTTTTTCCCTGTCAATTAGACACATTTCAATTTTCAAGATTTGCATCCATTTGATGTAGCTCAGTGGTTAGAGCACCGGTTGGAAATGCGCATTGTGGTATGAGGTTGCGGGTTCAAAACTCCGCGGCCTTGCGCATGGACACCGGCAGGGCGTTAGAATGACGCACGGCTGGACACACATCCCCTAAGTTATTACAGACAGTGCCTGCGCACCACCCAAGGGGTAGTGCATGGTGGTTGTATGTGGGGACTGGGCAATGGTGGGTATCCTGATGTTCTTGGTCTACGGGGTTGTCATGAGACTGCTGGGTGGCTCACATAGTCCGGTTTACTCGAGCCCAGCAGAGCACAGCTACAGACTATTTCACAGTGTAGGTCAATAGGTTAGATCACTTGCATGATTCACATAAGGTCCTGTGTTCGATACCAGACTATAACTTAGGGCTGGTCATCCTCTTAGTACGTGGTCAAAGGATTGAGGGTGGCATAGCAGTTCCTTAGTACGGGATGTCGGGAGTGTCAGGAGATAGTGCACTTTACCGCGGGGCCGGAACAGGCTCCAGGGACATACGAGGGAACAGAGGATTGTCTGCTCTCAGATTACCATACAACATGGCTAAGAGATTATCCAAGGTCAATACATACAGTCCATGACTCATGATTGAGGATGGGCTATCCTCCTAGTACGTACATTAGAGTTGAGGCTGACATAGCAGTCCTTAGTACGGATGTCGGTGGTGTCAGGAGATACTGCACCTTACCGCGGGGCCGGAACGGGCTCCAGGGATATACGAGGGAACGGAGGATCCCCATCACTCTACCATCAACACCATAGTAGACTGTAGTAAAAAGACAACATAAGGATGAAGAAACTCAGTCCATAAACTCATGACATAGGGTTGGCTATCCTCCTAGTACGTAGCATAGGGTTGAGGCTGGCATAGCAGTTCCTTAGTAGTACTGCCTGGAGGTGCCTGGTCTCAAGCTAGGTCCATGTACACCCAGGGGTTCCAGTGTTTTGCAAACGCTGGACCCTCAGGAACAGCAAATTTTGACGAGTTTTCGGCCAAAAAACTCGGTTTCAATTTCGTTCAAAAAATAAAAAATGTCCATTTTGACGAAATGGTCGTTGTACGGGATGTCGAGGTGTCATGGCCGGAACGGGCTCCAGGGACATACGAGGGATTGGAGGATACCCAGCTCTCTATCATCACCATACAACTAAGCTATATGGGAGTCGCTGTGCACCCTCATGAAGACCTGTAGTAGCATGTTCAAACCTAGCTCCCGAAGTCCCCGTGCAATCAGGCTTGCACAGCGTCTGCTTCAACCCGGGCTGAGCAGGGGGTAGGCATCTCTGCTTAGCCCCGGTACCTGCAACCGCTGTCTGGTCAGGTCACCCCGCCAAGATGGCAACAGGTGATGGTCCTGGGTGGTTAACACTAGGGTAGGACAGGGGCGGTGGGGGTGCGCCAGGGCCAAAGATAAGAGGAAGGGTGGGTGGGGTCTTCAGAGGGGTTCATCTGGACAACCGAGTGGCCGAGTACTGTGGGTGACTGCCATCCGTCTAGTATCCCACCTCTACAACAACCTGGGCTTAAAAAATAATAATAATAATAATAATAATAATAATAATAATAATAATAATAAATAAATAAATAATATAAAATTGGAACCAGTGCCATTATTGGGAAGACCAGCACTTTGTTGGGACCAGTTCCCTAAGGTGGGACAGGTGCCCTTGTTGTGAGACCAGTGCCCTTGCTGGGAAAACGAGCCCTTTTGGGGCCGGGTGGCCTTGTTGAGAAAACCAGCCCTGTTGGGACCAGTACAAGAGGGAAGAATAAATCAGTTCGAGAAGGGCGAAACTTACGAGAAGTCCATAATGAATCTATTTTTCTGCTCCTTTGCAAAAATTAACACGGCATTTGATTGGTTGCCCTGCACCAATGAAAAGGGCACAACAAACAGAAAGGAAAGCGCAATACAAACAGAACAATTGGTCAGTTTGCCGCTTAATATATCATCATTCTAACACTACTGCTCTGTCGAGCATAAGCCAATAGTAGAGGGGTTCTTCGCATTGCACTGACAGAGCCATACACAGCTGCAGTTCACCGTGCAATCGTGTGCACATGTTTTTGTCCGTCTGTCCGTCTGTCTGTCTGTCTGTCTGTCTGTCTGTGCGTTTGTTTGTTTGTTTTGGCTGGCTCCCCCTTCTGGCTGTTCGTTTGTTTATGAACTTTATGTACACAAATTCCATGACATCACTGAGACTCCGGGGGATAAGAAAATGAATGTGAATGGGTAAATGGCTGTGAATCACTGTAAATGACCGTAAACCTAAACACGAGGGGGTTGGAGTTTTTTTGTCCTCAGCCATTCCACCGCTTCTGATGAGTTGGTCAACCGCCACAATTTTCGGGGGCTCTGCCTACCGGACCTCATTGGCTGGCGGTGCCAGCCAAAAAGAAAACAATTGCACCACTCCGCTCGTTTTATTGTTGGTGCACAACAAAAAACCGCCACGGGAAAAAAAGGCCTGGAGGTACTGGTGGTTTAATAGCTTGATTTCCAATGTCCGCCTGTCAGGCATTTAAAACACTACTTTTTTTTTTTTTTTTTTTTTTTTTAAAAACACACCCCCGCCAGTGTTAGTGGTGCTGATAAGAGCAGACACCACTAACACCTGGGGAGAGGCTCCATCTAATGGTGGGGAGCATCACCTGCTGGGAAACGGGCCCAGCGTCCCATATACAGATTGAATTTGCAGCATGTCAGAACAAGAACCATTGTGGAGGAGTCCTGCCAGCATTGATTACCCTGGCATCCAGGGGATTGACTGAGCAGGGAGGCAGGGGAGGGGAGGAACCTCTACACCTTGGAACCGGCGCCAGATACCTACTGTGACTCACTAGTTCCTCCCTCCCCCCACCCAGTCTGAACTGTCACTTCCCAAGTCGTCGTCTTGCACCCATCCCACCCGCTGGAAACCGGGTCCAGCGTCCCATTTATACTTCATGTAGCACTTTGATTGGTGGCTGTGGATTTCCTGAGGCTGTGCACCTCGATCCTCCCGGGGCTCCATTGTCCCATGGAACTGCTAATGTCACCCATCCCCTTGTTGGAGCTCCCCTTGTCCCTATGCCCAGCCCTGTTACGGCAGTCCCCCTGTTTGTGCTGTGCAATCCCTGTTCTTTTTTCCTGAGGAGAGGCTCCACCTATTGGGGAGCATCATCTGCCGGAAAACTGGTCCAGCCCCCAATGTCACGAGAAGGCGGGCTCTTCCTCTTCTGCCAATCTCCTACTGCAAATCCCTACGTATCTCGAACCTCCCAAGGATTCAGTCTGCGCCGTCAGATCCATACCTTTGCAGGTCCACCATTGCCAACTGGTGGGGAGGGAAGGGATAGGGGAATTCTGTGGGTGGTCGCATCGGGAACTCCTGGCTCACCACTGTCCAGTCCTTGAAACATATACTGTAGTCCTTTCTGAACTTTCCCTGGTGGTCACCCTGGTCACCTTGGATCGGCCTGCCTTCCCATCTGACGGAGGAAATCCAACCCCCATTCTCGCTACCCAACCAGTCCCTTGAGAATTGCTGGATTGTTTGCTCTATATCCTGGGCTGAATGGAACAGGTTTAATTGAGTCTTCATGCTTTGCCATTGTACCATTAGTTCTTGTTGGACGTATTGTTTTATAAATTCTGTCACCTCTCCCTCCGCTGTGCGGGCCCCCTCTATTGCATGTATGCAGCGTTTCCTCCAGAGGGCCCACATGACTGCTCTCCTTCCTGTTTTGAACACGTTGTTTTCAAAAGTGTTGTCCGTGGGGGAGGCCCATGTCTCGCACAGTATGGCTTTCCGGTCCCAGGGCCATTTTGACCCAGTGCCCAGGCGGTACCAGATTCTATCCCACCATCGCCATGTGAGGACTGCCCCCGGACATTGCATGAATATGTGTTCTATTGTTTCCGGGATTTTGCGGGGAAGGCAGTATGGCACGTCTTGCACCAAGGTAACGCCTGTCCTCTCTGCTCCAGATAGGTACCGTCTATCAACCAGTCGTTGGTGGGTAAGCAACGGTGTTCTATCTGCCACTGCAGTGAGGCCATTTTGGCTGGCCTGGCTCTGGTGGCAGTGAACCAGTGGATGGGGCGGATCACTTCGGTTCCTATATTTAATTGTGATGACAGTGAAAGGCATTTAAAACACTAATGTTACGATCTTGGCCAATTTCAAAGTATACATTCATCAGAAAGTACAATGCCTTCCAATTGCAAAAAGAAATGAATGAACTTGAGAGGAGAGAGAGGGAAAGAAGAGGAAGAAGAAGTAAGAAAGAAGAAGAAGACGATGTACTCCAGCATAGACCAATGACAAAGAAGAAGTAAGAAAGAAGGAGAAGATGATGTACTCCAGCATAGACCAATGACAAGGCTCTTCTTCTTCGCCAACCAATCTCCTCCCCTCTTATTCAAACAAGAAATAACAATAATAATGTTGAATGGCTGAACCAGAATCAATGTCCGGATCCCACTTATACTGCAAACACAACATGAGGTCCACCATAACCGTGGCCACCCTTCCTCTTCCTCTTCATATAGGCCAACGCTATGGCGGAGCACTGAGGGCTCTACCCTCCTGTCCAAAGGACAACCCAAAGCAGCTATGTCG